AGACACTGTTTCGTTTTGGTATCTATTGTGCTTAGCCCAGGGAACTAGTGAGGTGGCTCACTGGCAGAACGCAGGCTTCTACCAGGCTTTGGCAAGCGGCAAAAAACCAGTTGCACGGACTGCGCGCAAGGCTTTGCGAAACATCCGCAATGTGGATGAGAATGATTGGGATGCTGCTGCTCTGGAGGATGCCCATGCTACAGCCCCGGCCAGACCCAAGAGAGGTGCCAAGAGACCGCGGCAATCAACCAGGGCCATTGAGGATGCAATGCATGCGGATGTGGATGTTGCTAGCCCTGCCGAGGTTGAGAATGATGACAATGACTCTGCGCATGATGATCAAATTAGTGATGCAGTGCCTGGTGATTTTGATATGCAGCAAGAGCCAGAACCAGAAGTGCTGGACGAGGTGTTGGGCATTTATTCAGCGTCTTTGCCTTCATCACCTCGCTCATCCACCTCAACTCATCATGTTGGGGAAAGTTCATCGTCTAGCGAGTCTAGCAGCTCATCTTCATCTTCTGATGAACCTGACGAACCAGATGTTGCTGCTGCGCAGGCAGAGGCTGCCAATGTCAGGGTTATGAATCCCCGTGCCAGCTTTTATTATGGCATGGGACATGCAGTCAGAGTGTACAAGTCTGGGCAGCCCATCGGGTGGGAAATGTCATGTGCCCACCCATCTCACACTGACAAGAAGTGCAGGAAGAACTTGAAGTCAGAAACCAGAGGGCCTCGGGGTAGATCTGCCGAGGACACGCTTCAGATGCTCAAGATTTGGCTGATCCGTGGCCGACACGTTTCATCTGCAACAGAACACATGGAAGAAACTTGGTCCGAGGTGCAGCGAGATTTCACACTCGGCCAGCTTGAGCATGCGCCCGATGATCCGCCTCTGAACTACACAGGGGCCGATGGTAGAGTGCATCAGTACACCAGGCGAGCCAGGTGAAAGAAATGGTTACCAAGCGCGAGAGTGCAGTGAATGTTGTTGTGATTCGGTGATGTTGCATGTTCCGCCTTGATACTTGCATGCACTCTTTTCGTTTTGAGAACAGGCAGCTGAAGCCTTTCAAAACCATGTTCGTGTTGATTGTGGAGGCCAAGCAAGCAGCACAAGGGGCTAGGAATCATGTGCAAGCAGTTTGATAGCAAGCTTGTCTCAACACGTGCGCTTTTGTGCGCAAAAAAAACATTGACCACGCATCCAAGAGTCCAAGAGCAGAGGAAGTCAGCTGTTCATTCACCATTGTTTCATTGTAACCAGCAGAGCTGCGCTGTAATATTCATGACGCAGGTTCAACCACAAAACAGCCAGTGGTGCCCAATTGATTATGTTTGTTTTGCAGCAAAGCACAAAACAAGCTGTGTGTTGAATGCTGAAGCCTTGTGTGCTTGTTTGGGTGCAGATTCGAGTGTTTTGCGACACACAGAAGCATGTGAAGCAGGTTTGATTGCAATTGACCTCAAAAGGGCCTTGGATTTGCGAGAAACCACTGCAAATGCAGCACTTCTGCCAGGTTCAGCTTTGGATTTGAAATAAACCGCTGCAAATGGAGCTGCTT